GAAATCAAACTATTTCGCATGTAGAGTGAGTGAATGCGTTCCCACAAATGCTTGCCCCTCGACTGGTTGTCTCTTCGAAATCACCACTAACTTTACAGAAAATGGTGAGACGCCCCAACAATGCAACCTTCTGCATTACCAAGAGTGTCAGAGGTTTGAGGCACCGAGAACAATGGGTCGCATCATGACTGGGTCAAACGCATGGCGAGGACGGTAATAGAAAGATGTCATTTACGATACTGTGTTCGTGTCAAGGTTTGGCACCACTGGGAAGGTGTTTGACATTCTCATTAAATTCATTACCTAATGAACATTTCATTTGTACAGTCTGATGTAAAATCAGACATTGGAGGTTTCGAAGTGGAAGTGCATGACTGGCCTAGAACAGCACGCAAACAGTTGGGCTGGGAGAGGCTGACTGGGTAACGGAACTGAACAGATATTTTGGGGTTAAATAAATGTAACCCAGTTGTACAAAATCTTCTGGATCAGGGGAATACATCCTCCCCATATCTAGGCCCACCACGGAGACCATCACACAGTTACTATTTATCATCACTGCTTTTGCTGTATTTATTATCAACATTATTACAGGTCTGTGAATGGCACATCTACTTCTAACTTATCTCTCTCGTTCAAAGTTTACATGAAGATCAAATTCTTACGTGTTAAAACAGTTTTAGCATTATTTATTGCTGATAAAAATCTTAAGGAAGACCCGATAAAACCAATTGTTTTCAATATCAATGTTGACAAAAATGACGTTCCCATTATCTCTATAAATTATTTGAAGAGCAAATTCTTACGTGTTAAAACAGTTTTAGCATTTTTTTCGTAATTGCTGATAACATTTTTAAGGAAAACTCGAAAAAACCCATTGTTTTCACTGGCAATGTTGAAAAAAATGACGTTCCTTTATCTCTATAACTTAACAAGGGAGTAGAACCTGAATACGGAGGCGTTACTGGTCAAAACGGAAGTTAGATTATTGATCATATAGTCCTTCAGTTCCTGAAGACCCATATGAACTGTAGGCTGATTGATCCTCACACTGTGCGTCTTGGGGGTATTTGTGTTTTTCACTCACCTCAGGCGAGTCGGAGGTGTGGAATTCTTTAAAAAGTCACATTTTTTTGTTGAAGCAAATTCCAACCGCAGTCACACGTAGATTTAATTTCTGAGGTTTTTAAAACAATTTAAACGCTCCATGACGACGGAAATTATTCACATCAAGTCATGCGTTGAGATTGTGACTCTAACACGGCAACTTCCTTCATTAAATTGACGTCATTTAACACAAGAAAGAAAAAAGGTAAATGCGATGTTTAGTTACCACTGATGACAGATAAAACCATATTTAGTAGTGTGTGATGATTGATACACAACACATTACATTGCTGCGCTTTTCTAAACGGTATCTCTCCGATGTTGCCATTATTGAAATAGAATTTAGCCCAGATACGAAGCCAGATGTTAAGTTTACTAATTTACTAGCGCTTGGTACTCTACTGTTTCTGATTCATTTCTTGTGGGTTTCCTTTTTTCATAGATGATTTACATAAAATATTTTTACACATTTTGGTGTTTAAAATTTGATTTTTTTGGTGCATTTGATATTATTCTTAGCGCTTTGGTTTCAGGAATACTTTAGCTGGACCTTTCTCTTGTTTTGACTTTCCACTGGAGTTTAAAAGATTGATAGCGATGAACAGTCAGTGTATCTATAACCAATATTTAGAACGCTATAACTGATAAACTTTCATTTCATGTCTCAACTCTTGATATTTGTTTAAACATCTAGAATTATTATATAAGCATATTTTTGCGGCTATCTGATTGGTCTAGAGACGGTCACGTGACCGTCGACAGAAAAGCATATTGACTCCAACCCAGGTCCGACCAAAAGTGATATTGACTTGAGTTACTAAAATAGATTTTGTTTATGTAAGGGTGTCAAGCTGTGACGTCATTCTATTGTTTACATGTCACAGTATTGTTGACATAACGTTATTGGTTTGGAGTGAAAATAAAATTACTTTTCTTGACTAAATGGACATATTTTGGTTTTTAGAAGCATTTTTCGGTAATTACATAATAAAACAATTATGGACTGGTGAATTCGGTCAATACCTGTTTTTATGGACCCGCGAAAAGGAATATTGACCTCGGACTTCGTCCTCGGTCAATATTGCTTTTCGCGGGGCCATAAAAACAAGTATTGACCTCATCACCAGTCCATAATTGTATAGTGTTTTGTTGCTTGTTTACGAATCACTGTTGACTGATGCCAAATACGTGATCTTAAATGTGTCAGTATTTTAAGACTGAAGTTAGTTTTAAATTGAAAAACCAATCAAACGTTCGGTCATGAGAGCTGTGCTAGTTAACACCCATCAGAGGGGTACACAAGTACGTGATCTACGTCACCAATTGTTGGAAGTCCATTTTGTTGCAGAGTCGGTGGCTGAGTGGCTCGATCGCCGACTATATGTGCTGCCAGTAAGGTACCTCATTATGGAGTTATGGTTTCGGTTTCCAAGTTTGGACTAAAAAATAAAGCGAATTAACGTGTGTTTTCCTAAAAATGGGTGTTTCCACAAATGAATAAAATTGATTTCATCGTCGTATCATGAAACTTCACCATGGTTCTTGCACTGTTCAAACCGACATTTGAGATGAATCACTCACTCACCCAATCAATCGTGAATGTGATGCCACGATTGTTACGACACTATACGTGCTGCAAATATAGTTATTAACTTCCTGTTGACTCAAGGGAGATAACCAGGTGATGCCCCATTAAGAAGAGCCACAGAAAGGTCCCAAACGCGCTACGACTAAAAACAAGTTTATTTTCAAAACCTCGTCTTTGGATAATACAATTTCTTAGTTAACCCCTCAACAAATACACCATGCAAGAACGAAAATGGACAATTTCGCAATGTCTGGACCGCCTGCGTGGTGTAGTGGTTAGAGCGTCCGCCCGGAGAGCGCAAGGTCGCGGGTTCGATATCCGACCGCGTCATACCAAAAGACGTTAAAATATGGTACTTGTTTGTCCCTGCCTGGCGCTCGGCATTAATGGGTAAAACAAGGACTGGTCGGCTCGGAGTCAGTATAATGTGTCTGAGTGGGGTATTCATGCTTCACTGCGGCATGGTATCTAAGTGGGCTAGCACTATGAAACCAGCTTAAGTCTATGATACTACAAGCGGCCACATATACACACGCATGCACGTCGTCATATGAGCGAAATATTCTTAAGTGCCATGTTAAACCCAATTTCACCTCACCTCACCCCGCAATGTCTGTGCATGTTAGGTAACTAGCGTGACAGACAGCTATTACCTCTGAATGTTGATTTACCGTTTCCAAAATCAAACCAAACGTTTTCTTCTACTGTCACCGGTTGTTACAAATTCATGTTCAAATCATGACATTATTACACATTGACCTATTGACCTTGTCGTGAACAGGATCATCTATCTGTCATACTACACCTAAGCCAGAATGAGCATAATCATTATCATTATTCAGAGAGTGAATCCAAAGACAACACACACATACACACACACACACACACACACACACACACACACACACACACACACACACCACACCAATAATCACTTCTGTTTGTCGTTATGTTTTATATTTAATACCGCCCTCGGCAATACTCTGGCTATTTGACTGTGGTCTAACAAACCGGTGACTGATGTTATGAACACAGACACGCCGTTTAGGTCCGATGACACGGAATCAACCACGTCATCAAGATTAAACTCCCGATCCTTGAGTCGCCTTACCCTTACAAATACAGGTCACTGGGACTTTGACAACAATTACTGACACGGATGAAGGTAAAAATAAACCAAAACATTAAGCGAGTGATTGAGTGAGTGAGTTCAGTTTTATGCCGCACTAAGCAATATTACAGCTATATGGCGGCGGTCTGTAGATAATCGAGTCTGGACCAGACAATCCAGTGATCAACATCATGAGTATCGATCTACGCAATTGGGATACGATGACATGTTTCAACCAAGCCTGATCACCTGATCCTGTTAGTCGAATCTTACAAGCATGGCTTACTGAAGATCAATTCTAACCCGGACATTCATGGGTCTATGCCATTAAGTCAAAGACTACCTTTTAATAGAACTCAAACACATTCGTATTCGTTGCTTTCATTTATTTGTTTACATGGCAATGTACAAAGCAAGTTTCCACCTGTGTATGGCGGTGAATATATACACATTGGATAACGGACGATCCTGGAATACATGGTTCGATCAGAACAAACATATCATCAGATAGTATTTTTATAGTACAACAGCTATGATGAAAGTCTACAAAATGGTATTTACATCACCACTGAACGAAATTGAGTGAGTGAGCTGGGCTTCACACAATGTACCATGTGGGAACGTTTTAACAACTCGGCTACCCAACCGCCCCCATGGAACAAGAACGGTATGTGTTAACTACAATGAAACCTGGTTTGTACGGACCTCGTTAATCCGTAAACCTCGAGAATTACTACTGCAGCTCAAACAATTGTACAAAGGGTCATTTCGTGTGGAGTTGGTTCATGGAACATTCGTTGGGTTCACAGAAACCAACGCTTCAATTTGATGTTCTGACACGACGATCGACAAGAAGATGCTTGGATACTTGTTTTTTTTGGTTTGACTGCATTAAACAGTTGATGGATGGTTCATATGATCCTATCATGTTGTTCGAGGAACATAATGTGATCAGTGAAGAAGAGACTCCGATCCGAGTCTATTGTCTGTTGAAATATATCCAGTCAGTAAGTGAGTATGGATTCATGCCGCTTGTAGCAATATTCCAGCAATATCACGGCGGGGGACACCAGAAATGGGCTTCCCTCATTGTACTCATGTATGGAATCGAACCGGGGTTTTCGGCATGACAAGCGAACGTTTAACCAATTGGCTACCCCACCTCCCCGGAATACATCCTGATGCCCCGGGGGACTAATTCAGGATGGCGTCTTGATTGTCATAACCCAGTTTGCAGCAATACACATAGTTGCCGATACACCTGGCCCTTCCGCTGGAATCCGAGGTGGTTCGGCTACATAGCTGAAATACAGACAATCCCTGTCACAGTAAACTGGTAACGATATTAATTATGTGTTTTCCATACATTGCGTTAGCTTCTGCTATGTTAGACTGCCGCCATGTTTAGTCGCGAGTGGGATAATAATGTCATTTAGCAGAACTGTATCTTCTATAATTATTGAGATCCAAAATTTGTGAAAGTAAAAAGTTAAGTACTCCGTGACTGATTCAAACAATTAATGATGTATTTGTTACCGTGTTTCTGACAAAGTAATGAAACGTCGAGCCAATGTTTACAGACTTTTGAGAGACTATATCACATAAAAATACAAAACTGAAGGAATATAGGATATAGGATACATGCCAAGATGTGCCAATACCTCTCTTGACTTACCACTATTCCTCTCCCTGAGTATTGCTGTAGACTCGTCAACGGCAGGTTAGTTGTCGGGATGGTAATGGAGGATGTCCCACCAAGTCTCACCCGTATTGAAGACAAGACGCCCAAGCTGAACACCCTGACACCGCCCCACGCACTGTTTGTAGTTGTTCTGCAAAGAAGATCTAAACTAGATAATGCCCACGTCATGATTCACACAAGTTCAGGATCCACATGCACAAAGCAATCTTAGCTCCACGATGATCGTAAACCTACGTCAGTGAGTGAGTGCGTTTAGTTTTACAATGTCTAAAGCCCATTTCTAGTGTTACCCAGCTGTGATATTGCTGGCTTATTCCTAAAACCGGCTTAAAACAATACTCACTCACTATCGTGTACATGTATTCCATACGAGAGTACCCACTGTAGATCTGAGAAAGTATTATTTTACTTTCAGCAATAATCCAGCAAGATCGCAGTGGCGACACCAGACACTGAAATGATTCCAACAATTTGTTCCACCGCCTCTCCATTAATGTTACACAACGCACTGAAAACTTAGTGTTGGAGAGTTTTTTCTTGTTCGTATGTTTCTTTCTTATATTTTAAAAATACAAAGATCCTGAAGAAACAAGCATTCCTTTTAAAATGTGGACATTTTGGTTTTAATTCCATCACATTCGTTTTACTATTTGAATGTTCTAACAATAGTATACTGACCGTGAGAGAATCTCGCCCATTGTAACAGAAGAACACCCTCTTTCCACCCGGGCACGTCGTGTCAGCAGCACCGTGAACGTTCCAGACAGGGTCGCTGACGTCACGTTGACGATACCTTGTACTGGGTTAAACGTCTGGAATCTCTGTGGACAAATAGTCATAGCTGACCATAACATTTTGGTTCAAACTTTACCACAGATGAATACATGTGTGGTGATATATCATGGTTATATTTTGTAAGGGAGTGTGTTAGCCATATTGAGCACTATTTCAACCATATCCAGACAGGGAACATAGAAATTGGTTTCAAAATCTATCCACAGGACTGTATGACAGGAGTGATTGGAACTTCCAGTGACCAAAATTATGTTTGATGAAATACCCCGTTCTGCATTGTCCGCTATATAGCTGGAAGATTGCTGAGTGCGGCGTTAAACAGCAAACCAACCACACTGTATTATACCGTAGATTCCTGTTTTTTTATTCAGACTTGCCTTGCCTCTCTAAGTATTTATGACGTGTGCTGCCTGTGGGGTAACATGCGCTCTGCCTTTTGCGAACATCTAACGTCATAACTGCTTGATCGTGATTCGTAAATAAATTCCAGCATTATGATCGTGATCATACTTTTGAAATGTCTCATAATTGATCAAAATCATTTTGTCGTGTTCACACATTCTAAGCCGGCCTTCGCCAACACAAGCAAACGTATAACCACTCATCTACCCCACTAACCAGTTGAAACTACACTTTACCTGGCTTGTGTTATCTGTCCATGATAACGTCACGGCCAATGAGCCTGTGTTGTCTGTGGCACTGCATGTGAGAGTCTCTCCTGCAATAAAATTATATACAATAGTAACAACATAATATGTTGATACATACGCCATAAGTAATGCTTTTGATATTTGATTTAAGTTTGCATAAATGAATGCATGTATGTTATGATGAAGCTAAGGTTAACAAAAAGTGAGAGTGGTTTGACGCAGCTTTCAAAATATTGCAACAATTTCAAACTTGGGATTCCATAAATGGTCTTCACATATTGTGAGAAATTGCACACATGTCTTTGGCTTAATGTGTGAACTCTTTAACAATCAGAAATTCTTAAATACAACAACTTACAGGTGAGCGAGATGGTTTTATACAATCATACATTTGTGAGTACATTTTTAGATGGTACATTCAATTGTTATACAACCTACCTTCTGAAATGTCAATGTCATTTCTATCAGAAGCAGACAAACTGCTTCCAATGCTGGATGTTCCTGTTGTGCCGAGAGACACCATGCCTGGTTGCCAACCAATACCTTGGAAAAGCCTTGTTCCGAATCCATTTTGGCCAGAATTTGGCATGAAAGGCATGTTTTGAAGCGGTAACATACTTCCTAGTTGTGGTACAAATGGATTATTAGATCGAGAGTTCAGATTCATTTGAAACGGATTTTGTTGGAAATTTGACTGAAAGGAATTCATCTGGGAATTCTGTGAGTTGGCCAGGAATGGGGATGCTGTTGCAAATGGACCTCCTAGGTTTGAAGACGGGCCCCAAGCATTCGGGTTGTTAGACATTGGCCCATTAGGGCCAAAAGAACTGGGGCCAAAAGGCCGACCATTTGGCGCATTTCGACCATTCATTCCAAATGGTCCACTTGGTGCATTTCGACCATTCATTCCAAATGGTCCACTTGGTGCATTTCGACCATTCATTCCAAAAGGTCCCGAGTTGATCCAGTTGTTCCCAGGGTTAGATCTGAAGTTATTGTCACCAAATGGACCTGAGCTTCCAAAGGGACCTGCTCCAATACCACCTCCACCGAACACACTTGGTCCAAAGTTATCACCTCCAAACACGCTTTGTCCTCCGGGGCTTCCACCAAATCTTCCTTGACTTCCAATTGGACTGTTCCATTGTCCTTGAGGCTGTCCTCTCCAGACTTGACACTGGACACAGTACAGATACACCGCTAAGAACAATGCTACTGTACCCATCTTCTTGTTTTACCGTTATTCAGGTGTTTAATCGTACAGCTCTCGATTAAAGGTCACATTGTGTCATGACGTTTTTTTCAATAAAAACGTAAAATAACAAAAACAAACACCTCAGCGGTGATATACCTTAATGTAGCTGATGTCCAACGGTGGATGTTCTAGTCGTGTAAGTATTCCCAAACATCCATCCATAACTATTTACAATGACTCAAGACAAATTTGATGGATTCACTTGTCAATAGCTGTGTTGATCGACACCTGACTCGCTCAAGGTCAGGCACTGTTGGTATGTCGCCTGTCAGTTTCACTTCCTATTTATTGAGAAACACTGATGTTGAAATAAACACGTAGTAACCGCTGTATCACATATAGGACGTTGCTATAATATTTCAGTACATAGCATATGGCGTGGGGTCAAGTCGTCAGAGGTTGTGAAATACATATACTCATTGAAATGAATAAGGGAACACTTAGAAGTATAGGTGTTCCTTTATTTTTCCAGATGTTCACCCACAGTGCAATACAAAGCATACGAAGAAGCCCGGAAAAGAGTATAGGAACACTTGTACTTTCATGTGTTCCCTTATTCGTTTCCATGAATATATTAAAGTCTTGTATTCTTCAGACGTTCCAGGGTCTTATACTCAGGTTGAATTAGGAGCCACTGATCAGTAAGGACAACGCTGGATGAAGTTCGATATATCACTCACACACGTTAAATACATCACTCTTAATACGTTTGGTAAATTGCTGTATGATATGTAGTATACCCATGTATGACATTCAGTAGATTATAGCAGGGATTTCAGTACATATTTGGATGATGTTCAGTTACTGTATAATGCTGCATTAAATTTGAGTACATCACTAGATGATATCCAGGAAATTGCTGTATGTATTTGAGAACATCACTAGATGATATCCAGTACTTTGCTGCATGGATTTCACTAGATGATATCACATTAGATGATATCAGCACATCACTAGATGATTGCTGCATGGATTTTTCAGTACATACATGCTGGATGATATCCAGTACATTGCTGCATGGATTTCAGTATATCACTAGATGATATACATCAGTAGATGATATCCTGTACTTTGCTGCATGGATTTCAGTACATCACTAGATGATATCCAGTACATTGCTGCATGGATTTCAGTACATCACTAGATGATATCAGTACATTGCTGCATGGATTTCAGTACATCACTAGATGATATCCAGTACATTGCTGCATGGATTTCATTACATCACTAGATGATATCCAGTACATTGCTGCATAGATTTCCGTTCCTGAGTGGGTGGCGTTCAGTAACCACCGATGACATGAAATGCTTAGTATTTCGATGTTCAGTACGACGCCGTATGACATTTAGTTCATTACGGTGTGACATTCAGTACATCACTATAAGTCATCTTTGCAGATGTATCATTGTATTCCATCGTTGACATATTTACGCTACTTATATCACTTACGCCTGTAAAACCTGCAATAATCCAGACTATTCCAAGCAGCCACACACTGGTATACAGAATGGCATTAATCTTGAACTCGACACTTAACCAAGTTTGATCTCACATGTAGATGTAGATGTAAATGTTTTGCCATCTTCCCAAGGACTGCAAAATTAAGTACGATTCAATTTCGGATATCGGAGATCAATATCTGGATAGAGAAAGGATCATCAAACAAACTACAAATCCACCATGAAAAATATAATTCATGTCATGTCGTGTCGAATCATATCACAATCACGTTTTTGCTTAAATTGGGTTCACGTCATCATTTGAAGTAAGTGACAATTAATTATAAAAAAGACGTCCTTACATCCTCGTTATCAGCTGATGCGTACAAGATCTGTCTGCAAACACATATTGTAATCCACACAAGCTAGTGTGGTTCGTCTAGTTATGCAGCAAAACAAGCCAATTAACTGTTAAAATAATTTATTTGAAATGACAAATAACTTTACACATATGCAATATGTAATGACAGCGAAATTGAAACATTTACTTTTAGACCATAGGAAGTGATAATATATGTATAAATATGCATGCCCATCGTCTAAAGTAAATTATTCTGCGATATTATATAACTGGTACAACTGCTGTAAAGTATACTCTGTATATACAATTCAACGTTTGATAAGGATAAAAGGGTATGTAGTTCTGTGAAATGTACACTTGACAATTTTTAGAACAATTTCGGCACTGGAGGAAAATATAAAATGATGCCTATCAAAAGTGGAGTATTATATAAAATAATCAATGCAAGAAAATATGCACATAATTCTACTACATAATGCAAACAGGCTTTATCATTCACAAGTTCCAAAACACAAATTTACAAATGCCCTGTATGTCATGGTTGCAGGTGTTAGACTTCCCAAATGTTCAAGACGAATATTTTGTTGGTTATCATGATAATTCAAACAATATCTTAAAGAAAAAAGGGCATGGGTTTTGATCCATATTTAGCTGCAGATGGAAGGTGTGCTATAGCACAATCTAATAATTTAACCGCATGGTGAATGGTATTTTCCGTTGACTGACTGACTGAGTTTGGTTTTACGCCGCTTTTAGCAATATTCCAGCAACATCACGGCGGGGGACACCAGAAATGGGCTTCACACAATGTACCCATGTGGGGATTCGAACCCGGGTCTTCGGCGTGACGAGCCAACGCTTTAACCACTAGGCTACCCCACCGCCCCTTTCCGTTTATGAAGTAAACTGAACCTGTATGATTTCATTCGGATGTATTCGACTTATTCTGCTACCTACACTTCGGGGAGCAGTGACTGATATTAAATATCAGAATCAGAATTATATAAATTCCCTGTTAACTGTTCCGCACGTATACTACTCCATTTCTACAGAGTTTACAATTATCTTTCTAGGATTCACAAAGGAGATGCTCATAACGTCAAGTGTATATTTAAGAGACAGTTTATTCAGTATTTTAGGCCCAACGACCCATAGTACAGTTACATATTTTCAAAGTTTACATACTTATCACGTTTTACATCTAAAAATACAAATTAATACATTTTTTAGAAAACGAGCAACAGAGGTAATAACATCTTCATTCCTAGAATTTAAAAGATTTATCATCAAATGTTGATCTTTGTACCCTGCACATAAGTTTGGAAAATGTTTATTTCGCAGGTGTCGATAGTGCTTACACACAAATAACACATGATATTCATCTTCGACCTGGTTGCTATTACATTTGACACATTTAATTTCACTTGGATTTAAATTTTTACCTTTCCGCTCAGAGTTTACATTGAAATCATGCAATGAGATTCTGAGTTTACAAAAAGCTCTTCTCAAACATTTGTCATGTAATACAGTTAAATATATTTCTGGCTCTAATAACGATTTTACAAGAGCATAATGAGAAAGATATTTGGATGAGTGTACATAAGAGTGCCAATATTTAATGTATATTTAAACAGAATAAGGATACCTTATCATACCTAACAGAAAGTGGTATACCATTATTGTAATATGGCAGTGGTTTCCAGAGTCAGGCTATTATGTGTTGAACATATACAGTTAAATATACATATAATATTCCTAACGTACAAGTTAGGTATACAAATTGAGACAAAAGCAAGCGGAACCAAACTGAAAAATCATATTTAGGTTTATTTCGCAGATGTGATGTGATAGTCACGTGAACGAATCTTCTTCCAATACGGATTCCGGTCAGTGTAATGGTCCGAGGTGGAACGATCCGAGTGAATATCATTTGAGAAGAGAAAGTTTAAGGAGTAACCGCCTCCTGGTTGTCGAAACCCAGCTTACAACAGGCAGCGATAGGATCGGAACAAACTTGCCTGCCATCAACACCTGTTGTCAAAGTTGAACAAATCTGAAAAGAAAGAAATTAACTGTTATACCGCTTTTCTCATTATTCAACTAATATCATGGCAGAGTACCCAACGAAAGCTTTTCACACATTTTAGGGATCGACTTGGAAATTATGAATGGCCAAATTATTAGCCAGAATGTTTAACAGTGTGTATTCGCCTTCATTATATCAACTGGTGACACGTCACTATATGGCTAAAATTCTGTCGATGTCGTTTGACACTAATGAGTAAAACGGGATTTGTTGCCACATATTTGAACATCATTATACATTACACCCATGTTGGGAAACGAACCCGTGTCTTGCATGAGACGGATCGACGCTTTAACCACTAAGCTACCCAACTATCTTTAGGAATCGATAAACAATGGTACTACAACTACAAAACTGATACTTAAAGTTAAATTGAAAGGTTCATACTCCCCCAAGGAGCTGAGATTGCCAATGGCCGGAGTAATAATAATGTTTTTCGACAGTTACGAACATTAAACTCGACACATTCAATTTGACTGCTCAAGTATGAAGGACATCGCGGAATTGAGACAACATCAAGCACTAATCATACGTAAAGACGATCACATAAAATTCAACATATAATATTAAAATGTAATGTTTGTGGTAAAGCGAAGGTGACACTCACCGCCAGGCCACGTCCACCGTAGAGCTCAAGGTTGTTTAATGGTAGGTTGGCAAGGTTGACGTTGTTCTGCTGGTTGGCCGAGAGGGTGACGGTAGCAAGGACGCCGGGGTTCTGGGAACCCATGCCCATTGACCACAAGTTCCATCTTTGGTTCCTGGAACATGTCATAAAATGGATTATATTAGGATAATATTTTAGAGTGAGTTGCTAACTGTATATTTCGATAAGCACATGCAACATGAGGATGGTGCTTTGTCGCGATGAAGTTTAATCAGTGAAATATTGGCGGTAACTCTACCGTTTAAGACGAAAACCGTATATCCACTATGGATTATCATAAATATCACTATCAATTATCTCATAATACGGATAACTCGATGTAAGTATGATGAAGACTGCAAATTTATCCGATATATGGTCTCGCCCGACTTCGTGTAACCCAACGTTAAATCTTAGCACTACCACATTTAAAGGCTGCGGTAGTTTTGCCCGAATCAAGAAGTAAATTTCTGTACATGAAAATACGTAAAAGCGACAAAACCATATCAAACAGATGTCTCTTCTACGAGAAGAGTTCCTTGTACATTTGCTGCTATATCACTGGCATGTTTTTTTTAATCAAGTGATGGTCTAACTTAATTCAAAATCGGTGCAATTCGTCACAAACACATGCAAGGACAGGTCAATTGCTCACACGAAAAAAAGCCATACATCAAGTATCATTAACGTCATTAATGCGTCAACTTTGGAGATGTCATTCACATCTAGAATGAAATGATTTCAAAACGATTTACATGAATGTTGCATCCCCGATAAAACAATTATAAGCACACTGGCTCATTTTGAAATGATTTGTGTTTTCAAGCTTGTAGTGTTTCTGAAACTGCAACTCGTACCCGGCAATGACTGGACCAAGACCATCAGAGGTGCAGCCAGCCTCTGTGCGGGACCTCTCTGTCACGACGACGTTGTATGTTCCAGTTGCTGTCGTTGACCTGAGATTCAAGGACCCTGACACACCCCTTCTCACCATCTGGAGCAGATGAAGAGGACCTTAAAGACCTTAGCATCATTGTGGAGCATCACTAAAAACTTTAAACGCTATAAATGTTAGGAGAATATGGAAAAAGTCAAAGATGGACATAAATTCATTTTTCTCTAATAAGACTGTATGCAGTTCCCGGGTTCAGGATCCCGACATACAAAGCGTTCGCAATGTTACGACCTGTCGTAACTCTATAGTTTATCATAGTTAACGATTGGCGTAACGCTATGAACGCTTTGTGGAACAGGATCCAGGCGTATATTGACTTGAAGGCGAGTGGGAAATAAGGTTCATGGTCTTACCAATTATAGCAAATATATTAGTATTTACAGAACGCACGTTCTTAAGGCTATCAAACTGCAGAAAATAATTTGAAAACCTAGGAGAGACACGATTGCAATTCAAGTTACTTATATTTCTAAATAAATTGTAAATATTGCTAATATAGACGATAAATAGCGGCTCAGTTGTTGAGAATCGCAAAATATATTTATGTTTCAAATTTATGTCACAGCATAAATTTCACCAAAGTGAGACGTTAAAAATGTCAATTCTTGGCACTGACCCCCCACGCTGATCTCCTCAGCGTGACTGATCCAGTGAAGCCGGTAGCGGTGAAGGCACAGGTCATTGTAGTATCTGCAAAAATCAACAACTTCTCAAAGACTGATGTCATGATAACAATTTATTTATAATTATGGAATAAATCTTAGATTTGTATACAAACCCCTTTATTCATCTCATTTCAAATATAAAAGTTATGGGTTTTTTCAAACACTTCATATCACGGCTGGAGTGAGTGAGTGAGTGAGTGAGCCTAGTTTTGTGCCGCTTTTAGCAATATTCCAGCAATATCACGTCGGGAACACCAGAAATGGGCTTCACACATTGTACCCATGTGGGGAATCGAGCCCGGGTCTTCGGCGTGACGAGCGAACGCTTTAACCACTGGGCTACTCCACCGCCCCAAAGGTGAAAGCTATAATCAGTTGCTTTCTAGACCTCATGACATGTTTATAATGATTGTCAATAACTGATTGACAGATGTATTTGATATGGCAATATTCATGGTATGATAAAACTTATGACTAGTCATAGAAAAACGTTGAGTGAGCATTTCATCTGATAGTTTCGGACTTATTACCGCTTGTGCAAACATGTGACAATTGAAAGGATTTTTAACATAATGCAATTCAGACTTAATAATAATATCGCAATATATGCAATATCGTTAATTTTGATATAAAAGTATGCTTATGTACAGGATTATCTGCATATTTATTATCATCTTATATAATTACTATCTCTATGGTTCTACGTTTGTGGCCCATTTCTGGTGTCCCCCGTCGTCATATTGCTGGAATATTGCTAAAGGCGGCGTTAAACTAAACTCACTCACTCACTCAATCCATGTTTGTATATTGTTCCCTATTTATGACTATTGGGTTTAAGTCCTGTTACTCTGAAATCTGTAATCAGGTCTGTATTGAATATCAAGGAAGTACTCACTCTGGATTCCTTGCAGTGGGTTGAATCCCCATCCCAAACCAGCAGCGCCGCCCGTGAGCCCAGTTAATGGCAGACGAGCCCCGAAACCTGTGCTTGGGAAAGGGATTCTACCGGCACCAAATCCTGCTGCACCAAATCCAGCTGTACCAGAGCTTCCCGTGGAACTTGAACTGGACACAGGTGACCATCCTGAGGAAGATGAACTGGCCTGGCTGGATCCCCACCCGCTTTGACTAGATCCCCATCCGCTTTGACTAGATCCCCATCCGCCTTGACTAGATCCCCATCCGGTTTGGCTAGATCCGAGTCCGCTTGTACTGGAGCTCCACGAACTTGAAGGACCGTTTGAAAGTCCAGATGCCAATCCAACACCTGCACTTTGGAATCCCGAGTCCATGCCAAATGGAGAAGCAGCGCCCATGCCACCCATTGCACCTCCTCCCAAGCCACCCATTGCACCCCCTCCAAAGCCACCCATTGCACCCCCTCCAAAGCCACCCATTGCACCCCCTCCAAAGCCACCCATTGTTGCACCTCCTAAGCCACTCATTGGTCTACCTCCCATGCCAGCCATTGCACTTCCACCGATGCCACCCATTGCACCACCTCCTAATCCACCCATTGCACCTCCGGTCATACCACCTATAGCACCACCTCCTAATCCACCCATTGCACCTCCGTTCATACCACCCATTGCGCCTCCGTTCATACCAGCCATAGCACCACCTCCTAATCCACCCATAGCACCACCTCCTAATCCACCCATAGCACCTCCGTTCTAATCCACCCATTGCACCTCCGTTCATACCACCCATTGCACCCCCTCTCATAGCATTCATGTCAAATACCTGACCGAAGGCCATCTTGGCCATTAAAGCTACCGCTGTTGCAATAGAGAAAGACATGCTTGTCGAGATCAAAATCAAGTACTCTCAAGTTAACGGCAAGTTTATGCTATATACCCAAACTTTAACGATTACGTAGCGGCAAAATCACTCGTAACGTTAATCCCTCGTGCGTCATTTTCGCAACCTTCCTTTATTACACAACCTGGGCATTGGTCACTTCCTCATTCGACATGCCCACCAGCGTGGACCTGTAGTGGGTAATGGTCACTTGGTCTGACACATCGTGCTCGTTTTGTTTTTGTACATATAACGTTTTACTGTTAGGCAGTAAGTGTGTAATATTGTGTTTCTTATGCCCACACATTGTTTTACTGTTAAGTGCTGGTAAGCAAATGTTAAGTTTTATGTCTCACATCACGCCTCATAGAATGATCTCATTGATTTCGATCTTGTTATTTATTGAATAAAATCATTAGATTTAGAATATAACATTATCAAGTAATCAGCCTATGAATAAATATAATATCTAACTTAAAGTTTGTTTTCGTTCTCTCAGTATGCGAAAATCAGTAGTTCGAAGACAAACATAATCTGGAATTCCATACTGCCATAATGCCACAAAAGTCGTTTCTTTACTGGGTATCATGAAACTTGAAGACATAATTATTTCTAATTTTCTGGCCTTAATATATTGAGGCCATTTTTTCTAAATTAATTAAAGTTGTTAGACAAAACACAAGAGAGACACTAATTTAAAAATATATGCTCCATAGCCTCAGGCAGGAATACAGCGAAAGACCTTGATTGCACGTCGTTACGCAACTGTACAGATGATACAAGCAGAGAAAATTGTACTTATCCTTTGGCCATTAGCCAACAGCAATAAACCAATCACGATTAGCCAGTACAAGCAGTTAGGCCATTCATGCATTACCTTTCTTATCCCATGTATCAAGAGTTATCTGAAGAAATGATTAGACTATTTACATAAGGACAGTTCTAGAGTAGTTGATGTATGGCAATTGTGACTGATTGTATCGTTACATGCATTGTAGAAGACGTGTGTTTCGACACAAACACTTAATGCTATATACTTGATGTTACTGTATTGGCGCACATTATATTACGTAAGTCGACTGACCTTAAATGACTTCGATCCGGACCAAACGTTATAGCATAGATATGTCACATAAAAATACAACCTTTGTGTGTGAACCGTGAAGATCCGGGTTATTCAACCATCTGAAAACACACCAGCTGAAAATACCCGTGAACCGTGAAGATTCGGGTTAGAATTAGTCTTCAGCAACGTATGCCTGCCGTATGTGACCGCTAACGGGATCGGGTGGTCAGACTCACTGACTTGGTTGTCACTTGTAGCTCATGGGTTTCATGGTAAACACTCTGCCTCAATTCGAACTTACTCCCCATCAAACTGACAATCTTATAACTGTTCATACTGTTCAAAGCGACAACAAATCCAAGCCAGTCTACACAATCACGTATTTGTACTCACACAGTTTAAGCGTGTAAATCAAATTGATGTCAACAGATAACACAACGTGGATTATATTCATAATTTACAATGTGGCACTACACGACGAATCCAGGCTCCATTCGACACAGGGGTTCAACGTGGAAATACCATCATTGATATTCTGGAAAATGACTGTATAGTTATCATGTGTTCAGTTCACAGTACTATTTATTAATAAAACTAACTTCATAATGTGGCTATTGCCATTATAGCTCAGACTAAAGTGCACGTTATCTTCATCTTATGATTATGAGTGAGTGAGTGAGTATATTTTCTACGCCGCTTTTGGCAATATTCCAGCAATATAACGGCGGGGGACACCAGAAATTGGCTTCACACATTGTAACTATGTGGGGAATCGAACCCGGGTCTTCAGCGTGACGAGTCGACGCTTTAACTATTAGGCTACCCCACCGCCCCTCTTAAGAGATTATGCAGTCATGTTTTGTCACCTCAGTATACAATATTAAAAAAATCCAAATGACAGATTGAAGTATTTTGCCTCATCATTTGAGGATCTTTGTAAAATAGTGATGTTCAATGTTTTGTCACCTTTTATATTATTGCTATGAAACATTAATTTTGTTAGATGCCTATCACATAATGTCGCGTTTGATATAATTTTGCTGCTTTCCGCATGCTACGTTATCAAATGCTTTGAATGTCCTGGAGTAAATGTCAAGCGTGAAAGGAAACAAAAATGATGTGCGATACTTTTTTTAAATTGTACCTGAATCTAAACATATCTATAAATCAACTGACCAAATAAAAAGTGTTGAGTTTTTTGCACCTTATATATTTTTACTATGACATGGTTTTTATGCCTATCACATTATGTAGCGTTTGACATAATTTTACTGCTTTTAAATGCTTCGGTACCGAATACTTTGCGTTTGGGCGGAGATGTCAAGGGGGAAGGGTAACAAAATCAAAATTAAATATAAATTATTTACAATATTTTTGTTAGGTAAGGAAATAACGTACACGTTAATGAAGTGAATGATATTGTGGAATACATGTCTGAAATAAACATTGTTTAGGTTAGGAACGATTAGGAACGTGTCAAGAACGTAACATTATGAAACACCGTGCCGTAACACAGCCAGTCCTTAATTACATCAGGTGCGTAGGGATATGACTTCCGATATGCACTCTTTTATTTCTACAACATAATTAATTACCCACTTATCATACCTGTAGTGGTATATAAACCCAATCAGATAGATACCAGCATTAACTCAGGTTCTTCTCGAGTACAGTTCTACCATGGCTTTCCTCGCAGTAGCTCTTCTATCTGTCATTGCTCACCTGGCTTTGGGTCAAGGTTTTGGACAGAGCAATACAGGTGTTGGTCAAGCTAATGCAGGATTTGGTTTGGGTCAGGCAGGAGGGTCTTGGGGTCAAGCTGGATTTGGAGTTGGTGGAATTGGCGTTGGTGGATTTGGTACCCATGGACGCGGGATTGGTGGAGCAGGTTGGGGTCAAGTAGGAGCAGGATTTGGCCAGAACATTGTCAACCCTTTTCTGAGTGAGTATTGTTTAATTATAATATCCGTTACAGTCACTACACAACTAGATAGGGTAAACTTCGTTCTGTGTTTCATAGGATGTTTAACTTCTTGAATGATATGATACAGACAATGTCTGGAGTGAGTGAGTATGGTTTTTACGCCGTTTTTAGCAATATTCCAGCAATATCACGGCGGGGGACACCACAAATGGGCTTCACACATTGTGCCCATGTGGGGAATCGAACCCGGGTCTACGGCATGACGAGCGAACGCTATAACCACTGGGCTACCCCACCGCCCCAGACAATGTCTGGATGTCTGTACAATATGTGAGTCTTTTGTAAACATGAGATTGGTTGTCCTCATTTAGAGAATAAAATTAGTTTTCTGTGTTGAGTATGTGACCAAACCTAATAATCCCTGGCGTCGCTTCAGAAAGAAAGCTTGCACATTTACTTTGTGTTAAAGCCACCACTTGCATGTGAACATTGCATGATACGAAGTGTCCAACCTTATTTACTTCCTCCCCAGATACGACCATCACATGCACTGGAACAGGAACTGGTTTTGCCTTCTCTGCGACCCTAAGGAGGATGCAGCCATCTTGGGGAGGATGGGGTGTAAGTAGTCTTTACTTTTGTTCATCGACTTCCAGTGAAACCAGGTTGAGATTGACATGGCATAGCAGGAACATGTTTAGTTGGGATGGAGGTTCCGTCAGGGGGTAAATGTTCGGGTTAAGGGTATACCTAAAATAGTAAACACTAAACTAATACAGCTGTTGCTCCATCTAAATGGTTTTGGTCAATCCAATTGTATGCCTTTGAGAAACCTGTTTGAAGGAAAGAAACAGACACATAAGTTTGATTGGGGCTTATACGCCCACTTTGGGCCGTTCCCAGGTTAATTAAGATTCGACCTGATTGACAGTAAGCGGAATTGTGGCGATACAATACTCTATGATATAGTTCCCATTATTTACGGGATTAAATTCCTTCGTGATATTTGAGATTATTTGTTTGCAAATGGAATGACTTCAACGTGACGAGCGAACGCTTTAACCACTGGGCTACCCCACCGCCTCTTTGGTCACTACAGCTCAGCAATCGACACTTAACGTAGTAGGGTGTTCACATAGCACAGTGAATATAATTCATATATTCTTTGGATTTCAGCTTGGTCGATCTCGCAGTGGTTTGTCTGGATCTGCCGTTCTGAGGACTACAACCGCATCAGGAACCTACAACCTCGTAATCACTGAAAGGTCACGTGTGGAGGCTGGGTGTACTTCTGATGGACTCGGACCTGTTATTGGAAGGTAAGGATCTTTCTGTTTCCAAACCAGGAGTGGGTTACTCCATTTATACAGTCATGTGTGTACCATTTCTAGTTTGCCATTATTCGTAAAGGTTTTCTTCACAATGACGTTTAAGGGTCAACGATTACTCAAATGAATATGTTAAAAGAAACAGACAGAATGTAAATGTATACACCATTCATGGCCTTTCCTACAGCAACGTTTGGGGCCAACGGTGGGGTCAAGGTCTAGGTCAAGGATGGGGTCATGGTCTTGGTCAACAGTGGGGTCAAGGTCTTGGTCAACAGTGGGGTCAGCCATATGGGTCGTTTGGATGGGGTTGGATTAGTTAAAACAATATTAGGAAAGTATTATGTAGTTTTGGGTTTGAACCACACAAGTTCAACGAGTGTTTAAAGAATTTTCACATTTTTACGCTTGAATAAAACTTTTATCACGACCGGTAAAGAGACGTTGTCTAATGCATCTTGATATCACACAATGTCTCTTCAACAGCAACGTTTGGGGCCAACGTCAAGGTCTTGGTCAAGGATGGGGTCAAGGTCTTGGTCAACAGTGGGGACATGGTCTTGGTCAACAGTGGGGTCAAGGTCTTGGTCAGCAGTGGGGTCAGCCATGGGGACAGCAGTGGGGACAAGGTTCATGGGGCACCGGAACGACCACCACCCCCGGAGTTGTCAGCTCTGTCACCCTCACTACCAACCAGGAGACCATCGTTGACTTGGGTACTGCCAACCTGCCGTTCAGAGAGCTCGAGAGATATGGAGGACGTGGGCTGGCTGTAAGTAAATCCTGTAAAAATATTGCTTTCCAAATAAGGTAAATGATCCAAATAATTATATATGCAATGTGTATATACTGGACAAAAATAGTTAGGGATATATGTAAATTTTGAAATTATGAATAATGATCTATTTATTCATTGACACACTGATAAAATATCAATAATAAAAATACCAATATCCCTAACTTATTTTGTCCAGTATATGTATTGATTTGAGGGCGATACTTGAGTCAAATTTGAATTCAAACAAAAGTTTAACATGTTAAAAGGTTCAGAGACGTAGACGTCCCAGTGTTCTTTTTGATTCAATTGGGTAAACCACTAACTCTTTTGGTACAAATTCATCGTGAGATAAGTTATCCCCTAAACATTCTACTCTGGTGTCATCCGATGGCATACACATTCACCCACACACGTTATCGATTTTCAGGTGTGTTCATCCTTGACCACTGGTACAGATGGACGTCAAGTGTGTATGGAGCCTATCCTGGCCTGCTGCAAGTTGGGTTTCGACAGCATAGACGCTGTTACACCAACACCTCCATAGAATTGAGTTATTTAAAAGTTGAGTTATGAAATGATGAATGCAAACTATGGGAATATTTTTTCTTATTTATGAACACATGTATCAATATAGTCCGATAATAATTGAATTTCTCATATTTTACATCTCATACCATTTCACATCTCATAAGGCCTGTATGATCAGATTCTGAATGTTGCATGATGATTATAACGTATTTAATGTAAATTATTTCAAATTTATTCCTTTGCATCGGAAATTAACATATCTCCCCAATTGGACGTATATCGTAGCTGAATGTCTCATTTTCATATAACATATGACAAGGTCCCATTATTCATGCATAATCATTATTTATTCCTGTACAAGAAGGCAGATGTTTGATATTACGACTAGAGATACGAACCAATCTTTGAAGTCTCTCATATTAGAACTTATAGTGTAGCGTGTACGAACTAATACATTGACAAAACAGATTATGTGCATACCCATAGCTTTGATAGGGCCAGAGGTATTGGATATCACATACATGCATACTGGCTCATAGCTTTGATAGGACCAGAGGCATTGGATATCACATACATGCATACTGGCTCATAGCTTTGATAGGACCAGAGGCATTGGATATCACATACATGCATACTGGCTCATAGCTTTGATAGGAACAGAGGCATTGGATATCACATACATGCATGTTTGTCCATAGCTTTGAGAGAGAAAGGAATGGCTCATATCAAATGCTTTTATGCGAGCTCATGGGTTTGATATGAGAGTTCCTGTTGACTACAATCTTGGATACAAAGACGTTCAATGTACTGTTTCGTTGATGTTTCTAACGCAAAAACGGATGGGTAATTACAGGTTATTACGTGACCCATATTGGGAGCCGATAATTGATATTTATTCTACATTAAGATGTATTTTTAATTTAAAAAAGTGAAATAAATATTAAGGAAATCAACATTTAATTATTTTTATTTCATGTTACATACATACGTACATACATGCATGCATGCATACATACATACATACATACATACATACATACATACATACATACATACATACATACATACATACATACATACATACATACATACATACATACATACATACATACATACATCTTATGTAAGACTCATCTGTACAGATTGAAACAATGAAATGCTTTTAACAACAAAATGAATATACACTTGGTGAATAAAACATTTGAATCCTTATTCAATCTGTTCAGCTGTGTTGACTGAGTTGGTCACTTCCGAGGTCTTCTACAACCAGGGATGCTGGAGGGCATGAATCCCACTGGTGTGGAAATGTCACATCTGATGGTGGAAACAGTTGCCATCATTTAAGGACACAACGCCATTTTGAAAGTGGTCAACATATGTAACATATGTTATGTTTGGAATTACAATTCGAACTTCACTCTCAGTGCCAGGCACCTAATCACCAGCATACAAAGAAAGCCGTCTAACCCACCCAGCCATCACGGCTTCCACAACAATAGAAGTGGGACAACTAGCAGTGTAGATCATGAGTTTGTGTACCCCTCTGACAAGCGTAAATGGACATGGCTCCCAAGGCTGAAAGCTAGGAATACACAATGTCATGATGTGAAAGTTGCAGTGGCTGAGTGGGTTCAATTGGGTGACTTTTGACATTTTGAGATTAGTGCCTGCAGAAATATGCCTTCTTGTGCGTGTGGTTCAAATACAGCATGTAAACATGGGACGTAGTATACCTGGTATAAGCAAATCAGTTAAAGATGTCTAAACATCTTTCGTAGTTCGACACACGTCTTTTTTTGTGTTATGGTTCAGTATAGGTTTGAATGGAACTATTCATATGCAGTGCTTACACTGTAATATAACACTACAATACCTTGTCCATGAATATCTGTGGTGTGGATTACCATTTCCATACAGGCATGTTTGGACAAAGGTATGCGAAATCGTTCTCCCATACTTCTGTGGCAGCAGAAGTTGTGAATTCATTTTTACTTTGACAATCTGTCTGCACTATACATGTTGCAATTGACTGCGTATCACTTTTATTGATGGGGGATACGAGTAAATATGTATGCTTTGAACATACTGTTATAGATGATTTTGAAAGTTAGTCGTTTGTAAGTAGAACTATAAAGGAAGTCGCTGTTAGCAATATTCCAGCGATAGACACCAAAATTGGGCTTCACAAATACGAATAGACTGAAAAGCGAAAATTTCATTCTACCCAAATACGTCACATTGAAGTTCCACTTTCGCACAATGGAAGGGTGTTTTTTACCACCATTTAGGACTATTGGCACTCATAAGAGGGCGATTATATGAGCATTATTTGGGTTTAAACAGTGCTTGAAATAAGACGAGGTGAGGTGAATTTGGGTTTAACGTCGTGCTTGAGAATATTTCGCTCATATGACGACGTGCATGCGGCTGCTTGTAATAGCCCAGACTTAAGCTGGTTGTATAGTGCTAGCCCACTGAGATACCATGCCGCAGTGAAGCGTGAATACCCCACTCAGACACATTATACTGACTCCGAGTTTGATGGCTTGAAGGAAGAAATTAAGTAACAACACAAACTGCAGATGTAGGCAAATAGCACATATATACATATCAGGATAATGAAATGAGTAAATATGAATATGATAATTGCACCTGTAGGTTCCAACTGTAGTTAGTCGATTTTATTCAATACGACAGAAACTAGCCATATATGACACATTTGATGATCTCGACAAAGGCTGAAGAGTGAATGAGTGGGTTTAGTTTTACTCAGCTTTTAGCAATGTTCCAGCAATATCACGGCGGAGGACATCAGAAATGGGATTCACACATTGTATCTGCAAAATCAGCAAATTCTCAAAGACTGATGTCATGTTAACAATTTATTTATTTATGGAATAAATCATATGATTTGTATGCAAACTCCTTTATTCACCTCCTTCCAAATATACTGTATATATGAGTTTATTTTCTATTTCTAGCCACGTCGGGAATCGAACCCCGGGTCGTCAGCGTGACTTGGGGACGCATTAAACGCTAGGCTACCCCACCGCCCCCTTAGTGAAGAGGAGACACGGGGCATCACAGTTCTATGTGAATAAGTTGTGTTCCTTTGATCTAATCTATGGTCGAGGGTTTCATTACAGGATTCAGCATGAGTAAGTTGGAAGGTTTTTCAGCACAAACGTTTGAGAACTACATCAGTGTGACTTTCTCCAAACATCCTTACATAACTTGATATGAAGTTGTTTAAAACATAAAAGGTCAGTCCAAAACACTGGAGTCATCACCGATCTTCACTGATCCATTCATATAATCTTTACAGCTATTCATCTCTTTACAAGAAAAAAGAATTTGTTTCTGACGATAATTAAGACTTAGTATTTCCAACCTCATTCACTGTGATTGTACTTTTTAGCTTGCTGTTCATGGCTCATTCAGCATTTATCTAACTATATTACATTTCTTCATTATATTGCTTTGAGTGGCGTTAAACATACAACACCAAAACAATCACTCCCATCCCATACTATCTTTGTGTATTCATCCTTTGCAAATATAATCGGATTCGATAGCTTGGTTGAATTAGCCAAATATTAGGTCTATCATAGAGTCTATGTATACGTTTATTGTCAACTTTCTTTGTTCTGTGTTCGTGTTCGTTATGAGGTGAGGTGAAACTGGGTTTAACGTCGTGCTTGAGAATATTTCGCTCATATGACGACGTGCGTGCGTGTGTATGTGTATGTGCGGCTGCTTGTGCTAGCCCAGACTGAAGCTGTTTGTAGTGCTAGCCCACTGAGATACCATGCCGCAGTGAAGCATGAATACCCCACTCAGACACATTATACTGACCCCGAGCCGGCCAGTCCTTGTTGTACCCGTTAATGCCGAGCGCCAGGCAGGAACCAACAACGTCTTTTGGTATGAATTCATATAATCTTTACAGCTATTCATCTCTTTACAAGAAAAAGAATTTGTTTTCTGACGATAATTAAGACTTAGTATTTCCAACCTCATTCCTGTGATTGTATGCTTTTTAGCTTGCTGTTCATGGCTCATTCAGCATTTATCTAACTATATTACATTTCTTCATTATATTGCTTTGAGTGGCGTTAAACATACAACACCAAAACAATCACTCCCATCCCATACTATCTTTGTGTATTCATCCTTTGCAAATATAATCGGATTCGATAGCTTGGATTTGAATTAGCCAAATATTAGGTCTATCATAGAGTCTATGTATACGTTTATTGTCAACTTTCTTTGTTCTGTGTTCGTGTTCGTTATGAGGTGAGGTGAAACTGGGTTTAACGTCGTGCTTGAGAATATTTCGCTCATATGACGACGTGCGTGCGTGTGTATGTGTATGTGCGGCTGCTTGTGCTAGCCCAGACTGAAGCTGTTTGTAGTGCTAGCCCACTGAGATACCATGCCGCAGTGAAGCATGAATAGCCCACTCAGACACATTATACTGACTCCGAGCCGGCCAGTCCTTGTTGTACCCGTTAATGCCGAGCGCCAGGCAGGAACCAACAACGTCTTTTGGTATGACGCGGTCGGGGATCGAACCCGCGACCTTCCGCTCTCCGGGCGGAAGCTCTAACCACTACACCACAGAGGCGGTCTGTTCGTTATGAACATAGTTCACTGCAATATTTGCCAAGCAGCAACACTTACATGATAACAACACTTATATAATCTCGGCGCGATATGAACCTGTAACCTTTTCACAGTCCTTCACAGGGGCGGTGGGGTAGCCTAGTGGTTAAAGCGTCCGCTCGTCACACCGAAGCCGGGTACGATTCCCCACATGGGTACAATGTGTGACGCCAATTTCTAGTGTCCGTAGCTCACTCAATCACCCACTACTTTATCGCTTTATCGCTATTTTCATTTGCTGAAGACCAATTTTATCCAGGATCAGCACGGATCGAGACAATATTGCATTTCCTCATGTGAAAAACTAAAAATGATATCTTGATGTTGAATTCCGCTGCAAGAATTACGAGC